ATGCTAATTTATTTTCAAGTTTCTGAAATGTTTTGATACCCAAAAATGCTTGTTATGTTTGTTCTTGTTATTTTTCTACATCATAATTGTCCTTCATTCCTTCCCACGCACGTTATTAATTTGTATAATTTCTAATTTAACCCTCAATCTATTCTATCTCCTACACCCTCTCCTTTTCGTGATAAGTGAATATACAAGGAGATTTCTCCTTTCAGAGTTATGGTTCCATTTTCAAATGTTCCTCTGAATTCCACCATTTCCTTTATTTTTCCCTCCCAACACACCACAAGTCAATAGTAATGTATCAGTTCAAATATCCTGAAAATATTATATGTAGTATATGTGCAATCTGGCCATGCAAAACTAAATTTAAAATAATCAGAATGAAAACTAACAAACAGTAAATATGAAGACTGTATAATTAAGTATTTTTCTAACTACCATACATTTTCCACTGTTCTAACATACAGCACTTAATAGAACAAATATGAGATCCTGCTTTTATTCCATACACTTTGTACATTTGAATATGTACTCTGAATCGGTATGCTTTGGCTGTTTTTAAAATGACTACTCCAGTTTAAAAAACATATAACACACTTTTGAATGGAAAACCTCAGGCAAAATAATGCAGCATTTATTAGACTGCTATTTCAGTGTCCAATATGACCTCTACTAATTATCATTTTCTTTATAAATATTTAAAAAGATTGCTTTGGAGCTTCCTCCCACAGAACCTCTTTCATGTACCGCTGTGAGATCCCAGTGGGTTAGATATCCTTAATATTAATAAACTGGGTTACATGCAGTATCTCTATGAGAAGATGAACCCTGGGCTTTCATCTTGGATAGCAAGTAGCCAAAGTGCATAAGTTGTGTGCAAGGACTGTCTTCAAAAAGGCTCAAGGAATAATAAAAACAATGTAAAATTCAAGCTGTCTAATATCATATGCGAGAGATGCCGGCCCTCCAAAACTGGTTGATTTCAGCAGTCTTTGGACAGACAAATGATCTAAATAAAAGTCAAAGGAAAACAAATCTAGCGCCATTTTTATGCTATATGTCTGACTTGAAAGTCATCTCAAAATTGCAAATCCAGAGAGACATTACCCGTATTTTAAATATTGCAAGTCAGATCAACAAGAACAAACTGTGCAGAGTGAAATCATTCACAGGTGGATAAAGTGAGTGTATAGAGTATAATACAATAATCGTAGTATTAGTACAATAGTTAATATAGTAGTAGTATTTTATTTTTATCATTTAGAACCATCCAGGTTGTCATGATTTCAGATGCATATTTTACTTTTCCAAAATATTATCTTTAAAGCAGCATTGATTTACATTGAATTGTAATTGTATATATATATGAAATATAATTATTTACAACACTATTTTAAATAGAGATTAGATTGTATTTGTGTTGTTTGTTAGTTAGAATAACAAATCTAGCATTTTTTATTTAAGGCATATGTTGTTTTTATTGGTTGCATATTACAAATCAAGATGAAGCAGGTCAGATTCTTGTATGACCTGCTGTTTCTGCTAGTCTTTTGTGGACATCCTTCACCCATTATCAGAACGCTGCTTATACTTGGCAAGTGTTCAGGAGCCCAGTGCAAAGCAAAACTACAGACAAAAGCATACAGGGACAATTTACAGGCACTACTTAACCTTGCCAGCATGTCAATTAAAGATGGGAACGAGCATCTAAAAAAACACATGCATACATAGCAATACCATGCAAACTCCACACTGCAGACACCCCCATCTGCAATCAAACTCAAGGCCCAAGAGGTGAAAAGCAATAGTTTTGTCCATCACATCACATTGCCACCAATTTTTGGATATCTTCTTGGTTATAATCTACAGGTAGATGCTTGACAACTGGGCCAATTTTTCTACCTTGGCTCTAGAATAACGAGCAGGTGGTTAGGGATTGCGTCTTCAACTAATAAGCAAAAAATACATCTTTCACAGCAAGAATTATTGCACTTTAATTATGTGTCCTGTTTATCTTATTTCATGGATGATGCCATCGTCTCCTATGTGCTATCTATTTTTTTTAGTTTTTATTTAGGTTCATGATAGGTAAGCAGTCCTAGCTGGAGCAAAGAATTAACAGCACATTGTTAAGCGCCAAAGGAACACTCTTCAATAAACTGGCAGCCTGCTTGATTGAACCTGTGAAATCAACAGTATAAGAAATATATCCTTTCCCTAATGACTGTTACCAGCCAAGATATCTCACCTTTCTATTTTAATACCAACAGGGAAATCAGAGAAAGGACACCAATTAAGTTTAAAATGTCTCTGCAAGCCTGAATGTAATTGCCCTTTTTTCCTTTAATTATCTTTTCTAACACTGTATTCTCTTCAACAGGGGTATGGTACTGAGTCACAGACACAAACAGTATATAGCAGATCATTGAGAAATACTGTCAATGTCCAGAGTGTTTTTAATTGGATGTAAAATATACACATCTATTCATACTGTACACATGCATATATGGTTATGTCCTCTTGGTTTCAGAATACTCAATAAAAGAATGTAAAACATGGATATATTTATTTGAAAGGAAAGATAAGCCTTATCTGTTTAACTCTCTAAGTTGTGGAAAAACATAAACTGAACATTTTCATGTTTTTTGTGTAGTTCTTGTTCCACCTAATTTTTTGGTCTTGTTTTTGATAGGACGAGCTGTATTTTCAGTTTAACTATTTTTATCAGTAGTACATCAAAAACTGGCAGAGAACTACACTTAACTAATTCCAATTGTAATTGCACATACACAGTATACAGTATGTAGTACAGTATATACCAAACATCATAAGAAACGTTACTTATAAGTGCAAATCACGAAATTACTGTAAAGGTAATGATAGCCTTTTTGTAGCAGTTTACATTGACATTTTATTGATCAGTCATGGTGGGTAGATTTATTGTGCAGATTGATGTTTACCATCAACAGGATTCAGAAAGAGATTGTCTACTGTGAAATCCAAAGGCTGGCACAGTAGCTTGTGTGTCCACTGCTAAAAGCAGTACTAGGTGTACATCTGGAATGCATGCTTACACCAGACTGCAGATGCTGTCTTGTGGTATTCTGTCCCATTGCTCTAGTAGACCTTGAATAGCCATGTTCCTGTTCACTGATCTATGGGCCACAGGAACCTACTGTATATACCAGCCCATCCTACAAATGTTCAGTGGGCTTCAAGTCTGGAAAGTAAGGCCTCTACAACATATATGCCACTTTCTAATCTTGCAAGAAAACTGTTTATACATGAGCAACAAAAGATTGTACATTGTCATGCTGGACTGTTGCCATATCGTGATATCAGCGTAAGGTCACAGGACATGTACCAAGTCAGGTCCAGCAAAGAGCCATCAATTACTACAAATGGAGTTCTGTAGCAACTAGACACTCCTATCCTGATGAAACTTGAATTGGTTCCCGTTGATGTGCCAGTCTTACTTAACAATAACTGTAAAATTCTGCGCCTGTTCACATTCATCAAGGCGTTCTCCACAAAACTTTGAGTAAACACTAAAGAGGGCCTGACTACACCATTGGAGAGTCTATGTTTGTTGGTCTAACATATTGACGACACAAAGGTATTGTATTCTTTATAAACAAGGCATATCTTGTTTTCCATCCTAGAATTTCTCCAGCCTTGACATTCAACGGAGTAAGTTAACCCCTCACCTGTATCCAATCACCTCGTTTGTGATGTGATTAAGTGCTTATGCAACAAAGTCACTCAAATGTAGCACACAGCAGTCAATCATGAATGATCGTCTAACCAAAATGACACCAAAATTTATTTTTTCTAAAACTTTACATGCATAAATACAGTTCTAGATTGCTTTTAATAGTATGGATTCTGGTGTAGTCAAAATGTGAGTATTAGCAAATATGACAAAAACTGCATGAGTAAATTCATGAGATTTAGAAACAATTCAAGACTGGACTAAAACCTGACAAGTGCAGGGTGTCCCAAACGATAATAAAAACATAAACTATAAACTGTAAACTGAGTTTGAAGAAACCACTTGTGAAAACATTTGTTTAATTAGATACCATTTTACTTCTAGACAATATTGCGAAACAATAAAAAGAAAATGCTAGAATTATGATTAAGAATACTGTGGATTTAAATTTAGGGGTTTTTTTTTGGGACCGTTAAATTTTTTTTGTGAGCTTTTTTTTAGTATTGTGTGTCATTTTTTTCTCCTCTTATTGTAAAAAAAAATTTTGCTGCTATAAATCAGTCCAAAAAATTGACTAGAAACCTCTTTGGCATTAGGGAAATGTTCTACACAAATGGGCAAAAAGGAATGAACCTTTTTAATACTGAACAGTGAAAACTACAATGGGACATTATAGAAGTGCTGTCAGTCCTCAAAGGAACAAGGACAAACCAGTGAACTTCTTTAGAATCAACATTAAAAGCATGAACCAGAAGAGTACAAACAGAAACTGTGTGGAAGTACATTTTAAAAATGGAGAGAACAGTAGGCGTTTTTTACGCAGTGTTTACCAATAATTTTGGACATTTGGAAGAAGTTACCCAGGATCAATTGGCTACTGCAAACCAAACTAGATCTTGTTTGTATCCATTCTTATAGTAAAGAGTTAATATTCCCTGCAATTCCTTTTTGAATTCCCTTCAGGTTTCGATTGAACGAAAAAAAAAAAAGAACAAGCTAAATGAACCGCAACCATAACAAAATGTTTTGATGCTATTACCGATATTTATAGCATGTTATAGGTCCAGTAACCTTTGAACTGATTTCATGGCTCCAATTTTATTGGGTAATAAAAATCAAGACTCAGAGCCCATTCACGTTCACGTTAAATGTTTTGCACTGCAGGGAAAAAAAAGCCCGCAGTTCTATTAGAAGTAACGTTTTTAATAAAATGTAGGTAAACGTGATTCAAAAATTAAATACAATAATGTTTAAGGCGTTTAACTTATAAAATGTATGTTTTACGACCAGGCCATTTCATGAAAAGCCGAAACCAGTGAGACAGCGATAGAAGGGCAGTAGTGTGCTTCTGCCCAGTTAGTCGCATAAGTAATGTAGCTGCGGCCGCCACCTGCTTTCGGCCAGTCGCTGCCTCGAACTCGGGTGGGAACTTTCGGTTTCTGTTCTAGGAAAGCCGGGTGGTGGTTCTTCCTGTGCTGCAGAACGGCAAAGGCTCGTAGTATAAAAGTTCCTCCACGGCGAATATCACGCAGACACGGGGACTGTGTGCCAAGCACCGCGCAGGCATGTCTTCCGACGACGATTTAGTTTGCGACTACGATTCGACCTGGGAATCTGAAAGCGAGGAAGATGACCCTGGGGGAAATGGAGCGCGGAGATCTATATCGAGCAAATCTCAGAAAAGCTGGAGTTTTGTATGTTTGTTTTTTTTTTAAATATAAATCTCGTTAGAAAATGAGATTACTAGTAGACCTTATCTCAGTCTGGGGCGATGCAGCTTACAGTAGATCTGTTTTGGTTTGTGTAAGCTTAGCACCTATAGTATATGAACGTTCATAGTACCTTTATAAAATATACGGGGAAAAAACAGAATTAAACTGTTTAAACCTTGATTTTGGCAGAGTATAGCTTAGTGCAACGTAACACATTACGGTTTCCTCTCATTTTATGTATTTCTTTGCATTTTATGCATTAATACCTAAAGAAGCAGTGTATCGCTAAACAAGAACACCGTAAATCTGTTTCCGACCGTCTTATGTGGTGCTCAAATTAAACCTAATATTGCATTTCCCCCATGTTTTCTGAGGGTTCCGCCTGACTGTGCTTTGTCATGTTGGACGGCAAGTTAGAAGGACCAAAATCCTCTTGTCTTCGGCGACTGCGCGAACAATTAATATCATTTTGAATACATTCCAGCATCTTGCCTGTGCAATTTTCACTTTCCATTTCTGCTAACAGAAACCTAAGAGACCAGAGGACGTTGCAAATCCGGTTTGTGATGTTGTCGGTGCAGAAACAACTTTCTCAAAACCCTTGGGCGGTTGCCAATCTACAGATATTTACACAGTGGTGCTTAGACTGCCAGAATTTGTCATGGATTTTTTTTTATTAAAAAGGGAGGTTGTGCATAGTAACAGACTTGCTGGGAATCCTAAATGAGTGCACATACACTTATCGTTTGTGACATCCTCTAAAGTGGAGCTAAATGTTTTGGCAGTCTAGAAAAGGCCATCTGGTGTATCACGAGTCATTATTGTTAATTATGAACATCATGCATCATGATTGCCATTTTGCCTCTATATTTAAATAGGTATGAAACCCTAAATCAGCTTTCACGTTTAAGTAGTAGGTACATCAGTTTGCTCTTTTCTGTTAAGGTAGTCTTTAATTGGTGAAGTTTCAAACGAATTTAGTGTGATAATTTGTGTAAAAACACAGTTAAAAATTCATGCATGTAGTCTGCATTATGTTTAATATTTAAGACTGATAAAACTTTGTCTATTTTTTTCTTATCATTTGTTTTCCATGAATTAGTTTTGATAACTTTATGTATGAAATAGATCGATATAAAGGGCATAACAGTCTAATTTCAGCAGTGAAGGAAAATATTTTTTTAGAGATCGATTTAAATTGTCAACTTAAATCAAACACTATCTCTGGTTGTGCCTCAGAGCCGCAAGTTTCATATTGGAACTATTGCTTAGAAGGCTGTGTGTGTGTCCCAGTCATTGAAATAGAAATTACAGTATGTTCCCCTGTAGAGTGTCTTTATTTACAGGTACCATCCTTTGAGAAGTCTGGTCTTGCAGTCTATTCGTTTTAAATAGCCAAGAGCACAAATGTGTAGCATTACATTGTAAGTCTTTTGTGTAATCAGTTGTCGTCTTAAATACAGTATTATGTAACATTAGAAAAGTTTTCTTCCATTCTTTGGCAGAGATGCGATACAAGCAGATTGCTCTGTCTTCCTCAGCATGTCCCTCCTTGTGCCACAATCTTTCAGTGTTTTTAAGGCTTCTAAAAAATGTCAGGCAAGTGCATTAATACGGTATTAATCACAGCCCTTGTGGTAATGTAACCTCCTAATGGGAAAGTCTTTAATTGGCCTGAAAAAAACACGATCAACAGCTGAGAAAGCACAAAAAGGATATGCCACAGTTAGGAAAAAGTGTGCGTTCACTACAAAAGCTGCTGTACAGCCCTCAATATTTGGGCAAGCCCTCTGTCATCCATTACTAATTGATGGCTATTAAGTACAGTACTGGAGATAAATGTTGCCGGCCCTCATAGAAGATGAGCAGGGCGCCACACAGTGAGCAGAAATGTAACAGCTATGCAACAGAATGTGAGGAATGTTGTGCGGGTTGTGTTTGTTAGTGCTTCTCCATTTCATTTATGCAGACAAAGAAAGCATCCATAGCAGGGGGCTGTCAATGTGCTTATCCCGAGAAGAGCTTTTCTTTTAGCACAGACATGAGCTACCTTTCCTTTGAAGAACGAATCATGACTTGTCATGGTGTCATTGGAAAGACGGTGTTTACCATGGGCAAACAGTCTGATTCTTCAGGGACAAAACAAAAATAGGCATACGTCAGAAAGCCCAAGTATCACTTTATCTTCCTGTTTGATGTTAAAATCTTTAGTCTAAAATATGTCAAGATGTTGCGTAATTACTTTTAATAGGTCTGCTTGGGGGCTCTGGTTTTCTATTGATTGGCATTTTCTTCACACAAATTATTTTTCTTATCTATTCTAAGAAAAACAAGTTTTAAGATGAATGGATTATGTCTTCAGAGTGTTTGATCCTCCTGTTTGTTTTCACGGAAAAAGTGACCTTTCTGTTTTCCAGAGCTTTTTCCAGCCTTCTCGAAATCAGCGTGCTGCAATGGACATGCAGAACTATAGGCACGGATATCCAGTAAGTGCTGCGCTGTTTATTGTTACAAAATAGGGCTTTGTCTGTATTCTGATGATTGTGAATGTGGATTCAAGATTGCAGTATACAGAATTAAAAAAAAATGATTGGCTTGTTTTTAAAAACTTTGTAGTTTAAAAACTTTGTCATGAATGATTATTGGCTGATGTGAAAATGCTGTTTGAGTCAGTCCCTTCCTGTTCTTCTCGCACATTTTGTAAAAGAGAAATGAGGAATTCAGAGTTTCTGTTCAACAAACCTCCGTATCCCTTTGGAACTGGACTAGTGGTTACTTCTAAAACAAAAGGTTGAAAGTGTTTTTTAAAATTTTGAGTTGCCCGTTTTTTATTGTTATATTTACCTGATTTTGGAATCGGCATTTTTTTGTACTCATTTCAGAATTGCCAGTTGTGTTTTTCACCTCTTGGCTCATAGCTACAAATACCACACCCCTACGCAGGAGAGCATGAGGCAGGCTTCTCTGACTTGTCCGCCTTCGAGCTGCTCCTTTTTTAACGTCGCAGTCGAATCAGCCCCAGTCTGAAGAGAGCGCACATTCCTCACTCTCGTCCCAGCCTGACAGCCCCACAAATCCCCAGGCATGCTGGAGGTCACGGGGGTTGCTTATCTTCACTGAGTGGGCCTGGTTGTCTATTTCCACCTTTCAGTCCTCATACTTATATAGTAGATTTCTGGACGCTCCACTCAAAGCGCTTTTCAGGTAATGGGGACTCCCCTCCACCACCACCAGTGTGCAGCCCCCACCTGGTTGATGCAACGGCACCCTAAATGCACCAGTGCGCTCTCCACACGGATATCAGTGGGGAGTAGAACAAAATAATGAGGCCGATTCATAGATGTGGATTATTAGTAGGCCGTGATTCCTTGTTAATTTACAGATCTCAAACCGATTTGTCTGTGGCAGAAGAGATTTCAAGTGAGTTCATCAAAACTGAAATTTGAACACTATGTACTGTATTATATTAGAGAGCAATAATAGAAAGGTAGGTTTTCCTCACTGTTAGTAGTGTTTTAACCCTTTGTGTTTTGTCCTCATAAGTGAGAGTACACCTTTAGTGCAAAGACAACTTATTTGTTTTGTTTTTCTTGCTGTCCAACAGGAATTTCAGGACAATGAAGAGTATTCACGTGGAAAGATGTTCAATTTGAAGTTCTACCTGAATGAAATTGGCACTGAGCCAGATGGTATGTCATGAAGCTAATTTACATTTAGTTACAAAACTGAAGAATTTTAAAAGCTGTTTGTTCTGAGACCGATTTTCTGTTGTAATTATTTTATCTTGTGCCTTTCTTTGCTTTCATTTAGTTGAAAAGCCTGATAGTTAATGCTAGACCATATTATAAGAAATTCTATAAAACAGGGTTGGCCATTTGACCCCTCTAGCTCAATTAGTTGCTAATAGCTAATTGATCCAAGGATTGCTTCTTGCCAGTTCTTGAAGGAAGCTGTGGTATCATCTTTGACAGCTTTAACTGTGATATAGTGGGCAAGCAAGAGGAAATTAAGTTTAGGATAGTTCAGGACAGGGAACAAGACTTTCTGTTCTCAGTAGTGTCTCACACTTTGCACCTTGGAGCTGTTGGAATTGGATCTTTTAAAAAAACAGCTTGATGGAATGGCTGTTTTAAAATGTTCTTCAGTGAAAAGGCGTAACTAACTGTCCATGGTCTGTTTGACCAGAACGTATTATATTCAGAATAATCAGCCGGTACTAAATCTCCTGTTGAATACTGTGAGGAAATCAATAAATGAACTGCCCCTCCGTGACCAAATCAGAAGAGCTCGTTAGCCTATCGCTCTTCTCCCCCTGAAGTACAGGAGTTGGTGCCATGAACTGCGAAGCAAAGAATCAGTTATTGATCCCAGATTTGTACACTGTTGGCAAACGTTTTCGTGTGTGCTCATTACAAATAGCAGAAGACTTTCAAATATATGTACACAAAAGGAAAATGTAAGGTTTATTGGAATGGTGTAATCAATACCCAAGAATAAAAGTCCCATTTTCTTCTTGCGTTAATTTCTATAGGAATAATGATCAAAGAATTTCTCCAAAACTGGAAGCAAGACTATAAGAAATTAGAAAGAAACCATTCCTACATTCAGTGGTAAGATATTTTCAACCTCATTTATTATACAAGAAGATAATATTAAGAGTACATACAAAAGTAAAAGTATGTTTTAAATGATCAGAAGGTGGTGAACTTCTGGATACAATAATGTTGTTGTAATAACCAACTTGCAGGTTATTTCCTTTACGTGAGCCAGGAATGAACTACATGGCCTATGAACTAACCAGGGAAGAAATTGAGGTGAGTGAACAAAAGAACAAACAACGTCTGCTAATTTGTTGAAAAGGTTTGTAAACCATTGCTTGAAAACCTTTGCTCTCTGTCATTTTTTTTGTAGGAATTTCATAAAAATGAAGTAGCCAAACAAACACTTATCCAGTCTTATGAGCTCATGCTGGGATTTTACGGTATAGAGCTGGTGAACAAGGAGACTGGAGAAGTGAAGCGAGCTTGGAACTTCGAGGACCGATTTGATAATTTAGACCGGTTAGTGAAAAGGCTGATTCATTTATTAGGTGCATTTAAGCTGCCAGTTGTGATCAGGATCATTGTACTATTCCAATACATTGAATTGCATTGGGATCAGCAGTGTACATTTACACTGTCACCTTGTCTGGATAAGCTTTTGCACTCCACTCTCAAACTGTTCACACAAAACCCACACTGTTTTGTGTGAACAGTTTATGTAGAGGTCTGGAATTCATGTGGTGATAGGTGATAGGTTCACATTGTGGCGGGAATCCTGAGGAACTCAACAAACTGAAGGAGGTATTTCCTGTTTCCTTAAGAAACTGGTAAATATTCAAACACTCAGTAAAAATAAAATTTACAGGTAAAGCAGTTTGGTGAATCTCAGCCTTATAATTCTTGACCAGAGCATAATGCGTATTTACAAAAGAAAAATCTTTACACCAAAACCTTTTGAGATGCTGTCAGTTATAGTCTTATAACACCATTGTCTCTTCTCCGCAAAAACATGAATAGAACTTGTCAAATTTACTGCCTACATACAAGCCTTCATTAGGACACACACCATTGGCTACATGGTGGTCTTATACATCCTAATAAGCTACTAGCGTTCCATGTGAGGGAGAGTCTTATTTATTTCTTAAACCAATCAAGAAATAAATTATTCTATCTTGCTAAACAGTTAATGTATTTCAATTAACCCATAATAATAATAATTCTTTACACTTAGTGCTTTTTTTCTAGACACTCCACTCAACGCACTTTACAGGTAATGGGGACTCTTCTCCATGAAAAGAACACCATGTGTATGATAGTGCAGTTGATACGTTTTACATTTCTGTGGCTGTTAGCACTGCCAGGAGGTCAAGTCTAAACTAGACACAATACCTTTCACTCTGCTATCAGTGTAGTTGCAGTGCCAGATTTGATCAGGAACAAATGTTAAAATTCAAACTGATAGTGTGAATGTGCCTTTTGAGCACTGTCAATTTTTTGCTCATCCCACATGAATGTATGGATTAATGTTGCTCATTTCCAAATGTGTGAATTGATTTTATTTTTAATGTTTTGCGAGCATAATCATTAAGTGTTATAAGAAACTCCTTTGTCTCATTTCCCTTACAGTCAACAACACTGTAATATTTTTTTTAATTCTTTTCTTTGCCAATGCTTACAGAAACATGCACAACAATCTTCGCATAACCCGTATCCTGAAGTGTCTGGGCGAGCTGGGGTTTGAACACTACAAGGCTCCGCTGGTCAAATTCTTCCTAGAAGAGACTCTGGTGAATAAGGAGCTGAGCAGCGTGAAGCGCAGCGTTCTGGACTACTTCTTGTTCTCTATTCGAGACAAGAGGAAGCGCAGGGAACTGATCGAGTACGCCTACCAACACTTCGAGCCCAAGGACAAATTTGTGTGGTGCCCCCGGAGGGTTCAGAAACGTTTCGCCAGAAAGAGATCAGCGGACAGCAGTGAGGTCTCGGCCTCCGAAGGCAACCGGAACAAGGACGTTCATCCTGGGAAGGGACGCGTAGTGGACAAAGGGAAGGATAGCAAGGAGGAGGAGCAAGGTAAACCAGCTGAAGAGGGGACGAAAAATAGGTCAGAGGAGAAATGCCCTGACTACAAAGTGAAAGGAACAGTCGCTGATGACGCAAGTCAAAGTAATGAACAGATAAGTCTGTCTGACGACGCGCAGTCGGAACTTTTACCAACATCTGCAGAAAACGGGCAAAAAGAGGTCGGTACAGGTGATGGAAAAGATGAGGTCAAAAAGAACTGCGAGCTGCCAAAAGACTGCAATTCAACCAACGTTGAGGAAGCAGCATCCCCTCAGGACTTCGCGTTTAAAGGTAAACAAGAGAACGAAAGTAGAGATGAGGGAAGAGGAGAAACCGAGAAAATAGGCAATGTTGTGGATGATGATCTACATGAAAACAATGATGAAGCAGAAGCTGGAGATGGAAAAAATAAGAAGATGACGCCATGTGAGCGCAGCCATAGTTCCTTGACTATCATGCCAGATTCCGAACAAAGTGCAGCTGAGAATGAGCAGAATCACAGATCACCTGAAGATCAATTGGAAGGTCCTCAAGATGCAGCACTCCTGGGAACTCAACAAAACCAGGAACCAGATCGAACACCAAGCCAACCAGAACTAATTGAACCATCTCTGACTGACGGTACAGATGCAGGAGAAACACCAGACGGCACAAATAGACCTGCAGATGTGAGCATTACTAAGTCAGCTCCGATAACCAATGAGAACTCTAATCAGAAAAGTGGGCGTGGCAAACGTACATCCACTCTGTCCAAGGAGGAAGACATGGATGTTGACTCAGTGAACATTGATGCACACAACAATTCAGAGTCAGAAATGGAACAGGGAGATTAAAATTGTGATAAGTTTACAACCGATCACATCAATCTGTTACGAAATAATAAAACCTAAATATATTAAGTGAAGGAGATTTTATGTACCAAGACACATTCTTCCTTTAAAAGGTCCTCTGTAGGTTAAGCTCCTTTATATGATCATAGTTTTTAAGTTCTGTTTTATAGTCTTAAAAGACTTTCTGAATAGACTGGCTCGTAGAAGAAAAATGAATTTTATTAGATCCCACACCAAAATTAAATCCAGAAATCAGATGCATTGCCCATCACAAATTCTGTGTCACTTAAAGGCAGAGTTCTGCATGGTTTCATCATATACTAGACTTAAAGTTTTGTGATTGTTGAGTGGCTCAAAAAATTGATATAGTGCAGTGGTCATGTTTCCCCTTAGCCGTACCCTGAAGTATGTCTACAACTACAAGTCTACAAAATGCAGTATATATTAACATATTGAAGCCTTGAAGCCAACAGTTATCTCCCTTTACAAGTGTCACCTGAAATTATATTTTGTATAGTCTGAATAGGAGAAACATTCTGACTTCCTGTATATAATGGCAGAATTATATGCATAGCCATTTGGTACTACTGCTATATGGTTTGAATGATGATTTTTAAATATCTGTTTCACAGTGCTTTGAGTCATAATATTTTCTCCAAATGTTGTAATATCTTGTGTTGTTGTTGAAATGTGAGTTTATTGGATGTAAGAACAGCCTTAAGCATATGTTGTTATTCATGATGCATTACAGTTGTAGGTGCCAAAGTTATTTTTTCCTCACATTTTTTAAAACTGAAATCTCAGGAAGAAAATATTTTGGAGGTGTATGATAAGGTTCTTTCTTTTTCAATATCTTCTCATACAACTATCGTTTATATATGTCTTTCAAAACTTGAACTACATCTAAATCTCTGTAACAACAAGGCAAGTAGTAATGGAGTCATTTTATTTGATGCAAATTAAACATTACCTATTTATCTCGTTTGTTCAGTTCTGTTTAAGTTTACAATAAAACGTTTAATATTTAATAATGGAAGTGTTCTTTTCAGACATCTGAGCTCTGGAAGAAGCTAGGAAACAGCAGTGTTTAATTATACCAGCCATAAATGGTTTCTTTAAATAGATCTCTTGTATTTACAGAATTCTGATGCAAAACAATCAAGTACTAATTAATGGTTTTATGCATTGTGGTATTGAATGTATGCATACGATATATGGATGACAAATATAAAGGTCCATCAATTTAATCTAAAATACAGATTTTTGTCACATACAACTGCTCTGTAGATGAGATCAATAACCTTTCATTGAATACCTGAAAAGATGATAAGATTCCTGGAATATGCACTCTTAAATTTTAAGTATCTTAACGCTAAATCATTTGCTTGTTTTGCACCTCTTTCCGTGAACCTCCTCATTTTTCCAGTTTGTCCAAATACTAGAAGAGGTGTATCGAGAAATAGTCAACATTGTACTTAATTGTATTGGAATGGGGGCTACATTATGACACTCCCCAACTTCTGTGCTGAGCTGTTAATTCGCTGATTCTTTGTGTCCCACCTTGCCCAAGGTGCTGACTGACACGCACATTGTACAGCCTATTCCTTCCCACACCCTCTCCCCCTCCCGTGCCCTTTTCCAGCTCCTGTGCTGCGCTGTGCCCCCCCCAACCCCCTCCCCGACGTGTGTGACTTTGAGTTCAGCCCCTCCAGCTGGAGACTCGGGTTTATCTGGATGCAAAGTGAACTTATTCACGAGCTCCGCGCCGCGAGGAGAAGGAACGGTCCGTTATAAGCCGGGAGGAGAGAGGCAGCGAGAGGGAAAGAGGAAGGGGGTGACCCTTTTTAACTCAAAATCCGAGTTGAGAGGAGGACCCGAGCCATGGCGTGTTTCTCAGCTCTTGGGCTGCTCTTCCTTTGCCAGCTTTTGATTGCATTCTTAGCCCAGGTAAGTGATTAATTTTGTCGCATTCTCCAGCCCAAGTTGCGCCTCGAATGGTTATACAGTATCTAAGTGTAAGCCCCAACTGGTCTATAACATGCTCAACACCAGGTATGCTAAATGATTATGAAGATGCAATAGGTAACATTATCGACCCTTCCCCTATTGAACCAAACGACTTTATTCTTTTCTCTCTTTGTCGTCGTTTGTTTTTTCATTATTTTCGGGTCGAAGTTCTTCATGGATATGATATGCGTTGCGCAGGATTTGTGCACAATATCGTATGAGTAGTTTTAACTGATAAAACAATGTGGTCCTTTCAGTTGAGCACAGAGCTGGACTATTTCACCAAGTGTGAACTTTTAAGCAACAAGTGACTAGAGAGGGAGGAATCGTTTACTTGACTAGACGGTTGGGGAATATTAAACAGCATATTTTATTCAACTTTGATGGTATAAAATTAGCTTTATTTGGACCATATTTTTTCATAACCGGCACCTGAAGAACAACAAAGACGTACACATTACAAACTGTACTGAAATTGCAGATATTTCGCCCATAGAATAGGTTGCATCCTTTTTGAAACATTTAATGATTGTGCAATGTAGAAGAGTTTGAAATGTGCATTTTATATCATTAACAAGACTAGAAGAAGTGGGAATAAAGGAAACCGTTTATTTTACGTGGATATAATCTTAGCGTTTATTCCTCTTTATAGTCACTTATTGTTAGTGTAAGTTATAATGTACTAACTATTGCACGTAATTATGAAACGAGGCTTTATGCGTTCTCGTCCAGCTTCAGGAATCCGGACTGGCCTTCACTTCAGGGAGATCGGTAACGGTCACACAATGACATCTTTGTTCGTTCTGCTCCTCTGCTGCTGCCTATGAGAATTACGGCGTCTCAGTTTACTGCTTACCTTGATTTATTTAAGAACGGTCCTATTCTGACTTGTAAATTTAATGTTTGACAATATAATTGTATAATTTGCTGTTAAGAACCTTATTTGCAGTCATGCCCTTTGCTTAGCTTAGGGACCACGTGGAACCTGTGCGCATTATTAAAAGCGCATTATAAATCGCATTATATTTTTTGTTCTGAACACATTTAGACTGAAATACTCGTTTACACCCCTGCATTTAAAAGAAGAGCATAGTCTTTTTTGGGAAAGCGCGGACATTTAACTCTAAAGTTTGGTAAAACACGGGGAGCGCTCAGTAAGCCCCACTGATGCGTTAAAGCGCCTCGAATATTGTCGGGGTTTTATTTTTCTGTGCACCGCTTTTCAACATGTATGACTTTATAAAGCTATGTATTGCGGAATATGGCTGAAGACATTTTGAAGATCTCAGTGAAGACCACAATTTATAATTGTACAGCTCATACCTCTGAGATTGTTGTCTATGTTGCTCTGGATGTTTTTTACGCACTAGATGTTTGTGTGATGGATGTGCTTTTACCTGTTGTCCAGACGCAAGCGGCTGTTGTTTATGCTGACTGTGTGTTTTTGTGCGCCAGACACCAGGCCCTCGGGGACCGATAGGGCTGCCGGGACCCCCGGGACCCCTGGGGAAGGACGGCACCGATGTGAGTGGGAACCTGCCGGTTTTAAGGGGAGGGCGTGGGGAGTGAAAGGGCGTCTATCTGCCACTAGAAAAGCACTGCTTACTGTATCAACATCATTATTCCTACTTCTGGAGACAAAAATTGCAACAAGTTTTATTCACAGCTCCTAATAGCCACTTAGTCTGATATCAAAAGCCCCGAGATCTTCCGCATCATTCACTTAGCTCGGATTTTTATTTCTTTTGATCCGATAAGTACCGGATTAGCCTTGGAAGATCTTGCTTACCAACTAGAGAAACGACTTTAATTTGGTCTTTTGATAATGTCATTTGAAATGCTTCACCAGAATGAAGGTGTGCAACTTTGCGTCAATGGGAATAAAACTAGTTTGCTACGTACAACTGATTTCATTGTAATGGACCAGAATGCAATAAAGATAGTAAAGTTCTTGTTATTACACCACAAAAGAACATATTATACCCCTTAGCGTTTAGTACTGCAGCACATCTCTAGAGCAAAAGTACTACTGATCCTGCAGGCCTTCCTGTCTGCACCATTGGGTGGTTTTGTTTCAGCCATGTCTTACAATATTTTATTCATATAGCAGGGTGATAGCAGGCTATAATACTTAAGTTGCTGGTTCTTATCATTAAACAGACTTTAGATGGAGTTGTTCTAATTGTGCTACTGTATACAGTATCAATTTGACTCCACTGAAACCTGCATTGTTGTATATAATGACAATGTGAAGTATCAATGAACTATTTATGGTATTTGTGGTATACAGTGTTTTCTAAATATTTCTATAGTGTTTTCTAGATATATTTTATTTATGCGATCTTTTCCGTGTGTAGCTTTTGCCATGTTTGATCTGATTTTATGATATAAAGCAGATTTCAAGAATGTTTGATGTTCATTGTACTAATAGGATTTCAATGATCATTCAGAATGTTGTAACTGCTCTTTTGTTAGGCCTGTATTTACCAGTTCATTTCCAGTTCCCAGTCTGCACCAACAGCAGCTCCTTCTGTATCTTCCCTGCTGCAGTTTGGTAAATTACTTCAATCCCAAATACACACCTGGCTTCTTCTTCCTGTCCGTGAAATGAATAATAAATAATGAAACATTAAAGAACCCCCTGGCTCTGCATCTTGCCGCCTTCATGGGGTTTATGGAAGACAGGCTGTAATTTAGCATTTTTCTTGATCCTAAACAAAAAATAGGCTAGGATTATTGTATGATTGGACATAATTATATGATTTTTTTATCAAGTAAAAAATTTCACTTTTGCAAACAAGATCAATTAACCATTTTATCCTGCCTTTGTACACCATAAATAAACCAGGATCACTGTAAACAAGACTAGAAGAGAATTTTCCACTTCAAGCAACTATCCATATCCTGTTTCTGTCTAATAAAACTACATTTGGGACTTCATGGAACTTCAGGGATACATTTTTCATTTTGGCACAAAATATTAATTTCTTTGTCTTTCTTATTAGTATTTACCATCAAAAACAGCATATCCATCAACCTTTAAGTGGATCATTTTAAATTTTGATGCTCCTCTCATGGATAATTCAAATACTATGTGCAGAAATATGCATGTTATTACTTTAATATCAGTAACTATATCCTTGGACTGTTTTTTGCTTTACAAAACATATATATCATACCCTGAATACTAGTTTAAAATCAAAACTCTGTTTGATTGCTTTCCTAGGTCTTACAATTGACTTAATTAGAGCAAACTCTCAGTCTTTGTCAACATTGTTTAACATACTTTAACATGATACTTTTCTTAAATTATATGATTTTATCTTTTTACAGGGAAAACCTGGTCCCCCCGGACTTCCTGGCAAGCCTGTGAGTATTTTAAAAATATCTTTTATGTTTCTTAACTCTCTTACAATATTATTATACCAGATGCATTATGAACTACTTCTGATACAGTATGGAAAGGATCAAATCACAGGGTGCATGAATTTGTGTTTTGCATCCACTGAATGGACTGTCCACATTCTTAGGGATCAGCTCTGACAGATGATGAAACCATTTTCTGTTGGATTGCTGCAAGTCATTTTTTAAATCAAAGTCTGGCAAAGGGAAGGAATTATAATTTTTCAGAACCCAAATCTTGTAATAAATGGTTTGTGTCCATTTGCAAAGCTTTGCTTTTAACTAATATGTAGGCAGTTGCATACAGTAATGTAAGTTCAATCTTTCCCCTAGTTCTTCCTTTCCATTTAAGAGTTCCTTAAACTTCCTTCCTTGAGTTTAAGGGCGGAGCAGTTTAGTACATTGAGGCTGATGTGCTAGGTGAGGGAAGCTTAACTCCTGACTTCCAAAATACAAAATGTATATTTCAGGTGATTTGTGCTACCGTCACCTGGTGTTTTACTATACAGAATTACAGAACAGGGTTTCCCGCTGGGGTTTCTTTATATAAACATAGCAGAAGTACCTAGAAACAAATTGAACATTTTGGGAAAGGGCAGATTGAACTTTATACATCTCATTATGAATTGTCTGGTAACTAAGAGAGAGGTTGGTTGATGCTTCCATTCATACTCTTTGTCCTGCTTATTGGTTCCCTATGATGATAGTCATCATCTCTGTGATGAGATCTTGCTGAGAGGATGCCAGTTATCTCATTCAGTAGTCTTATTTGTGACTGACTTACCTGGGCGCTTCCTGTGAACAAATGGTTCAAGTCAGGGCTATGTCCTTATCTATGTCTCATAGCCCATATTCCTCTTGCAGTGTGGCACAGCTGGATGAGGCTCACCTGGAGTGGTAGGGCTTGACTCGGTTGGTCTATTCTTAACTTGCTAGGCAACAGTGCAAACTCAGTGCTGAAACCCTTACCAAACCTTCAGTCTTTGCTGATTCACCTGTTGTTGCTATAGATCTAGCAGTGTTGGTGAGCATGCGGTGTTCTCATTCTCCCTCTTTGATGGTTCACAAATCAGAGTCATTGACAACAACGTATGAGTGGAGATTCCATGCGAAAGAAAAATGGCGACTACTGGACCAATTCCTAATGCAGCCTTATAGATGACAGCACCAAGTCTTCATTTGTTGAGCAGGGCTTAAGGTGGCATACGTGTGGGGCATGTTGTGTGGTTTTGTACACAGTATTTAGTACTTCATTGTGCTTTAGGGACCCAAAGGAAAAGCAGGGGGACCTGGATCTGCAGGAAATGCAGGGCTTCCTGGCCTTCCTGGAGTGGATGTAAGTAATTATTGGCCCACATCAACCTAGAACTCAGTTCTCTCATGGTGAGTTCAAAAACTGCAGCCATTACGATTACACATCGATATTGAACATTGCAGAACTGACAGCTGTTGCTGGGCACATCTGACAATGTCTTACCTGCTAAAATATGCTGAATCTAAATAATCACATACAGTGGGTAATCTTAACTGTGCTGCAGTCACAACTGCTATCCTTCAGGTGGTGGTACAAGCAAGTCCATCAGTAAAGCAGCTATTGTTAACAAAGAACAAGGTAAACCAACAGTTCCTGAAGGTCACTGCCCTTTTATTTTCCTGTGCCAGGCTCAGAACTGTTCCGTCAGTGTCAAATTCAAAACAGTGTTTCAACTTAACAAAAACCATCGCCTGCTTTTCCATGCGTCTTCTCCCATGTTTCATCGTTGGATAGGCACAGTCATTACAGATCTTTCTTCTGTCTCCAGGGTTTAACGGGTGCTGATGGCAAAGCTGGCAAAGATGGGCCACCTGGACCAAGAGTAAGTACAACCAAAAGCCCGATGGAACACCTTCCTCGGTGTCATAACGATATTCATATGAGGAGACAAAAACAGTTATTCAGAAATGTTTTTATACTATCATTCTGATTCATCCAAGATAGATCAGTATGGGTTACATTTAGAAGTATTATTTAGGTCTTGTACAATCCCAACATTATGACTGGATGAGGGCTGATTAATATTCATACCCATAATTCATGCAGCTGTATGCTCATGACAAACTCCCTAAGCTTGAC